TCGGTCTACTTTCGAGTGTCTCCGTCTCTCATATAATGGGTGTGAAGAGGTATTTTTGACTTTTATTTTGATCTGTCTGGATGGTTTGGATGGTTATGTTACTTTGCTAGCCTGTTTGTATGAGTGTGTCTGTCTGTCGATGTCCGTCTGTCTGTCTGTTTGGTTTAAACTGGCGAATGTTTAGCCTTCGCACAAATGGCATTTTGAAGTATACGTTTAGGTTCTGTATTCTCATGCACCTTACTGGGGTAGTGCGGGACTGAATTTGCTGTTAAGAAAGTGTCTCGGAACTTAATTTTCATCATGCAGCGCTTCAAAGTTACTGAGGTGCCGTAGAAACTTGCATCGAGCGGTGTGCGTGGTACAGGCATGCAATTCGCCTGTCCTTCCAAATTTCTCAAAGCAATGCCCATCTGTCTGATTGCTTAGCACTGTAGTACCAGTCTTGTTTCATTACCGAGTCGCTGCTCGCGGGAGGTTTGGTAATTTCTTGAAATTACGAAACAAAGCTATTGCTAAAAGCGCAGAGACTCAACTTTCTTTGTTATTATTTTGCATCATCTTTCCAAATATCGAAGATTCCTTGAAGACACATTGAGAGTGTATACTCTGTTGGCCCTTGGATGTAACAGCATCGCATCAGATCACTTGGGGTTCGAAACGACGTATCCATCCCTCACCACAGCAGTTTTAAGTCCCGGCTAGTTCATAGTACAGTCTGTTAGCTAACGGAAAATTTTGTGATATAATTCAGGTTATGGATCTCTTGGCTTAATGACCTCAGTGCTGATGTGTCCTGATGGAAAGACAATCGAGGCGGAAGCCGCGCACGGTACTGTCACGCGACATTACCGAGAACATCAAAAAGTGATTATTTATTCTTCGTATTTTGTAAATTGAGAATATTCCATTCAAAAAGCAGCCTCTTCTCCTATATTTTCTTTTGTTTGTCTTTCGTCAGGAGGCATTTCATGCTAAACTGCACTTCGGAGGAACTATTTACAGGGCAATCCGACATCAACAAACCCCGTGGCGTCAATTTTTGCCTGGTCAAGGGGACTGGATCATCGTGGCAAACTCGATAGCAACGATGCTCTTCGCAAGTAAGTTATTTTTTTTATGAATTAAGCGATAACATTTTTCAATTTTTGTGTCTTTTTATTGTTCCGTCTTAGCAGACGATGCAGGTTTTCCAGTAACACTGTGCTTTAGCATACTTTCCATCTTTTTTTCATCTGAGCATCCCTGCGCTACAGAATGTTCGAGATTTTATTTCTGCTGGTGCGCCATCGTAAGTTATGTTATCTCAGACTTAAAACAAACGGGACAGCTGTCAGTTCATAGTGTGATTCTCCATCCATGCAGCTGACAAATTTTCCAAGTTCCATAGACGTTTTTACAGACGTTGTATCACTTAATGATTAAAGCGGTGAGAAAGTGGAAGCAGCGTATACACGTAGAATTAATCACTGAAGCCAGCAAATTTGATATGAAA